GGTTCCCTGTCGCTGGCGGCGTCCGTGCTGGGCACCACCGCAGCGAGGGCGCTGAGGGGCTTCCCGACGGTGTCCCTGGTGGTCGGGACTACCGTCGAGGCGGCGGACCCCTTGCGTGTGGCGCTCCGCACGGGCACGTCTGCGGCGGGTTCCGAACCGGGCGACAAGGCGCTGCCTCAGAGCCTTCCCCCTGTCCGAGAGGCCGACCGGAAGGCCGACCGGAGGGCCGGCAGGAGCCAGCCTCTCGGGAGCCGACGCTGACCTCTCCGAGCTCGGCTCAGAACCGTCCGAGCTCGGCTCAGACTCCAACTCTGACTCTTTAGGGTCGGAGTCTGACTCCGGTTCTGGCTCGCTCGATGCAAGGCAGATGTTGTGGAGCACTGCACATGCCGAAATAATGGCGGTAGCTGTTGAAGGGTGGTAATACAGAGCCCGGTGCCTTTGCAGACACCGGAATCTGTTTTTCAACAGCCCGATGCAGCGCTCCACAACAGACCTGATCGAGGAATGCGCCTTATTAAACCGGCCGCAAGTGGTGGAGGTCGCGTGGTTCCTGGCGACAGGGGTGATGAGCCAAGGCTCCAAGGGGTAGCCGCTGTCACCTGCACATGTAGAGGATGGAACATATTACATTCTTTACTTTTTAAAATAAAAGGCAAGAAAACAGCTGTGTGCAACTATGTCAATTATAATGTAACTTAAGTGTGACTTAAACGTGTGTTAATATTTCTGCACTACAGTATCAGTTTACATTATGATTAATTAGCACCAGCTTGCCTGCAAACTCCCTGTTATTTCATGTAACTATGTGTTTTCCTGGTGGGTTGTATGGGATGTGTGCACGATTCCTTAGGGGTGCTGTGTTGTATGCAAGTGCATTATTAGGCCCTTGCATCCAACAGATAAAAGCTCTGTTGCTTTTGGGAGTGTAGCCGTGACCTTAGGCACGGGCAGAGCAGAACACGCTGGCCTTGTCTTTGGCAAGCAAGGGGATAAGGCGCCAGTTCGACAAACTTCTTTCCTAATCCTCGGTGGAGTTGGAGATGGGGAAAAGATAGGGGGTGGTTAGATTGGAAAGGAGTCAGGTCCTGTTGGGACACGGAGGGTCTAATAGGAGGAGCTATATAGGCAGACCGAAGAAGAAGGGTCAGGGAAAAGAATCTAGTGTGTGGGACAGAGACGACCCGAGGACAGATTTGTCGAGCCCCAAGTGGCCAAGGAGGAATTGATCTCATTCCGTACAAACTGACGACCGTCAAAGCGACCAGCCGAGCCCCCAGGTATCAGTGAAAGAGCTCCAACTTCATGCAAAAACCAACCAGCAAGAGGGTACAGGCAGTCAGTAACAGTGAGTGGGCCGAACCGGACAGCGACTCGCACTGCGGTCGCATGCCTTGCGTAGTCTATCACTGTCGTGAGATTGGTGTAGTGTGGCTTTCGTAGCCTGCAGAGTGTGAGAGTTATGTGGACATAAACAGAGATTAATGGCCAAACTATGGGTATTGTCTCACTTCAAGGAGTTCCAGCAACTGTGTTTGTGTGCCTCACAACAAGCACAGTACGTGTGGTACTGTGACTTTCAAGCAGTGGGAGCCACCGTGTGCGTAAGGAATGAATTTAGTATGCTCACCAAGCAGGAACCGGCCGTCGTGTGGCAGCTGCCCTTGCTCGAGTTGGTTTCGGAGCCAGGAAAATTGCCACACGAAGGAGTCGTGCACCGACCCGGGATACCGTGGGTCGATGCACATTATCCGGCAGTCGGCGTCACACACATGAAAGTGAGAGAGATATTGACATGTAATTACCTGAATCCACAAGTAGTAGATTGTACTTATGGTTCACAAAGCAGTCGCAATTTCAGAACCTTTTAAGTTATTTTGTCTGGCACATGCATGTCAACACACCTTCCTGGATGCAAGGTACAACTAACTACCTTGAAACAAAAATAATGTTTTTTTTTTTTTTACGGAAGCTTGCACGTTTTAAGAGACAAGTATTAGTTTTGGGAGAAGCGTCTCACGGCTCACATGCTACGTAGAGCACACGCTCGCGCAGTCGTGAGACCCCACAGCCCGCAGTCATAAAACGGCATACTTAAACCGTATCGGCAATACGTTTTTTTTTTTTTCTAGAGATTTGGGGCGAGTTTTGACAACGTAACATGAGTGTACTTACCACCATCACGTTGAGGGCGTAGAAGTACTTGCGGCACCGGTACGCCGCCTTCGTGACGGTGGGGTCGTTCTTGGACGGGCCGACGATGGAGACCATGGTCCCGTCCACGCAACCGATGACGCCGGGTATCCTGCCGAGCAGCCTGAAGCCCTTCTCCGCGTCGAACCTCTCGCTCGGCGTCTCGGGGAAGTGGATCCAGCCACGCTGGACCCCGAGACGACGCACGATAGCGACGGACACGGCGCGGACCGCAACGCTGACTGTCTTTTCGTCCCGCGCTACGTGTTCGTCGCTCGCCACCATGCCTTGGAAGCTCCCCGTGCCGTAGAAGCGCAGTGCACACAACACTTGAAGCTCCACAGTCATGACCGTCCACGAGGTACGCACTCTCCTCACCTCAGGTTCCTCGCGAAGTTCGTCGCACAACCACCGCACCACGATCTTGGGCAGGCGGTATTGCTTCCAAAAGATCTCCTCCGGGAGCTCGAATGCATCGCGGTGTTCCCGAGCCTTTCTGGCGAAAAAAAAAAGCTCTATTAAAGAAAAAGACGAATTGACGAGACGGCGACGCCTCGCCGCCGAACACATGCTGCCAATGACACCTAGTTCCGAGCAAGTACCTTTTGAAACGTACTCGGTACAAAATGAAACGTCATTTTGTTGTCACGTCCGGTAGCCGACTCCGCCCAGTTTTGCCGACTCCGCCCACATTTTTCTAGGGAAATTACGTCACTTTTGTTTCCAACCAATCAGACGTGATGACGTCACTTCCGTGTACTAAAAAAAGGTACATGTACAATGTCGAACCTAGCTATCCAGTGCTGCAATCTTTTGCGGGGCGCCTTTGTCTAGCCGGAGGGAGCGCGAGCCACACCTCTATCCTGGGAGAAGTTGTAGAAATGCTCGAGCCACGTGCCACGCGCCCCTTCTGGAAGGAACATGTCGTCTAAAATTCAGCTCAGTGCTGCGCTGTGCCGCCATGATTTCCCAAGGGCTGCACGTTGCACGTGTCTCGTGCATCGACGCATCTTGCGCTACGTTCTTAACATGAAGGATCTTTGGTAATGATTAAAGCCCCTTCATGTTTTAAAACAAGCCCATAGTGCGTCGATGCACGAGGCAAGTGCAACGTGCAGCCCTTGGGAAGTTCATGGCGGCACAGCGCAGCACTGAGCTAGATTTCAGATGCCATGTTCTCCCCAGAAGGGGCGCGTGTCACGTGTCTCGAGCATTTCAACAAAAATGAATGCCACCATTTTTCCCAGGATAGAGGGACTTTAGTAATGATGGCGGAGCGGCGATGGAACTTAAAGCGGCGCCGTGTCGTCTGGCGAGGACGCGAGCGTGCCTACATACAGCGGCACTACAGCCTCTATCCACGCGCGTTACTGGATAAAAATATTTCAACCAAGAAAACAAAAATCGAGCACGCGCCATCAGCCTCCGTTTGAAATCCTATAGAAAGTATTCACTGGCGGCCATATCCGTGTGGGCTGCTGCTGAGCACGTGCTGACGGCGAGCTTCCACACTCACAAACGCCATATTTGAGGGCGATGTTCAGAGCGCATGCTCAGAACGAGCTCACATTGATAGCCTGCTAAGACCGGCAACCTTGATGGTGCTCAATGCACTCTCCAAAAGGACTGCGGAAGCTCGCCGTCAGCACGCGCTCAGCAGCATCGCACACGGATATGGCCGCCAGTGAATACTCCCTATACTTGGTGTCACCTTAGTCTGGACCAGTAAAACAACCTCCCTGCTTCGCATCGATTTTTGTACACTTCATCTGGCGTCACTAAACGAGGTTTGTAAAACACATCTAAAACAAAACAGAAGTTTGTTGTTAAAATATTATTGAATAGAAAACATAACAGACACGGACTACGTGTCTGTTTGCTCAACATTCCTAGAGAAGGGATTTTGCTATCGCAGTGGCTAAAATTCGACGGCCGCGGCGGGGAAAACTTACGTTGCGGACGTCGAATGGAGCAACACGGGTGGTCCCAAACTCATTTTTTACATCTCTTTTTTTTTTTTTGTCGCAGACAAGGTAAAAATTAGGGATGTCGCGAACCGCCCCAGGTTCGATTTCGAAAGGTTTCGATATTTGCGAAGCGAACTGAAGTTGGTTTCGAAAAATTTCGATATTTTCGTATTGACCAAGGTTCGAATTCGAAAAATTCGCAACTTTCGATCACAGTGAAGTTTCGAATTCGAAAAGTTCGAAACTTTCACGTTTTCTAAAATTTCGGATTCGAATATTTCGAATATTTTTTTACTTCAGGTTCGATAAATTCAAAGATTTCGAAATTCTTTGGAAATAAAATTCGAAAACTTCGAACGCTTCGAATTTTTATAGACATGAAGTTCGAACAATTCGAAGATTTCGAATTTCTTTCTGCATAAAGTTCGAAAAGGTCGAAGGTTTCGATTTTCTTTTAACGCTAAATACGAAAAAAAAAAACTTTGAAGATTTTGAATTTCTTTCTAGTCCACGTTTTCAAAGTTCGAAGTCCAGTTTTCAAATTCCTCCACAGTTTGTTTCAAATAACGTTTTCACGACTTACTGGTTTCCACAAAATCAAGTTTAGAAAAGTTAGGGTGGGATATCTAGATTCTGCGAAGTTGGTCAGGCAATTAACCCTTTACTGCCGGTTGTCGCTAATTCGACCCATACCGGCAGAACGCCCCCAGCGCCGCAGCGAAGTGTTGGCACGCCCAAATGCCGGTTGTCGCGTATTCGCCACAAACCCAGTTTTTCGCCACGGACGCGTAGCGCCATCTAGCGGCAGTGGTATAAAGTTATAACCAGATTCGTCCGCCGCTTTACGAAAGAAGCAGAACACGTGCTACGGACCTTCTTTCTTCGATCTTTTCTGGAAAACAAAGGTGAGTTCAGGTCTAAAACAAATTGCTTTTCTTCGCTTACATCCTACAGATTACCCACAGCATATTGTGAGTTCACGACACGTGTTTCTTTTTCTATGATCGCCGGTTACATGGTCTGTCGCGAATTCGCGACATTCAGCATTTGATCCAGTGATAGTGTCATGATACAATAAGCGGTGATTATTCATTTGACGAATTCTCTTCTTGTTTGATGGCAGATAATGAATCCTGGCACCTTCTATGGACAGAAAACGCTTCGGACGCGCTTTCCACCTGAGGATAAAAGTGACGACAGTTGTCTTAGTGACAGTGATGAAGATCCAGACTACAACCCACCCACGCAAGGTGTTTCCCTAATGGCGTCAGAGTCTAGTAGCGACGAAGATGACGAGTGTGGCACAGTGGCTGCGCGGGCTGCGCGCATCACAACTAACAAACAATCTGTTAAGTGGACAAAAACCAATTGTCAAGAAGAGAACCAGATTCCATCGTGGAATGGTTCTTTGCCTCAAAGTGAGAGCGTTCGAACCCCGATTGAATATTTCAGGGAGTTCTTTGATGATGCGCTTTTCGAATACATCGTGGAGCAGAGCAACCTCTTTGCCATCCAGAAAAATCCTAACAAACCACTGGGTTTGACTCGTGCAGAGCTGGAGCAGTTCCTGGGCACAGTCACATTCATGTCCTTCTGTAGCCTCCCACGAACCCGCCTGTACTGGGCTGCTGAGAGCAGAATACCAACCATTGCTGACACAATGTCCCGTGACCGCTGGGAAGCAATTAAATCAAATTTACATTTCAACAACAACGATGAGATGCCCTCACCCAATGACCTGCGAAAGGATCGTCTCTTCAAGGTTCGGCCACTCCTTGATTCTCTCCTCCCGAAGTTTGAAGCTATTCCAAAAAACCAAGCTTTGTGCGTGGACGAACAAATGGTGCCGTTTAAGGGCCGCTCAAGCCTCAAACAATATATTCCCAGCAAACCACACAAATGTGGTTATAAGATATTTCTGCTCTGCGATTCGCAAGGAATCGTACACTCCTTTGACATTTACACTGGGAAGATCGACGCTGTTCCTGGCGAACCAGACTTGGGTGCGTCTGGTAACGTGGTTCTCAAGCTGTACAAGTTGATTCAGCCTGGCCTGAATCATCATCTATATTGTGACAACTGGTTCACATCTCTCAAGCTTTTCACTGCCCTGGCCAAGAAGGATGTTCACTGCCTTGGAACTGCGCGTGCAAACCGTCTTCAAGGCTGTCCTTTGCCAAGCGATGCGGATCTCAAAAAGAAAGGCCGAGGCACCTTCGAAGAATTTGAGACGGTCATTGATGGCCAAAAAATCATAATTGTCAGGTGGTATGACAACCGCGCCGTGACAACAGCAAGCACCTTTGCAGGCGTTCAGCCAGTGGCATCTGTTGACAGGTGGGAACGCACGCAAAAACGGATTGTACAAGTCGACTGCCCAAGCTCGGTGCGTAAATATAACAAGCACATGGGTGGTGTGGACCAAAATGATGCCCTCATTGCCTTCTACAGAATACACATCAGGTCCAAGAAATTTTACCTCAAGATTTTTTTTCATTTCATCGACATGGTGATTGTCGTGTCGTGGCTGCTTTACAGGCGCGACTGCGACTCACTAGCCATTCCAGCCCGACGGCAACTCGACCTCCTGAAGTTCAAGTTTTATATTGCCACATGTCTGCTGAAGCAGGGCAAGGACACCACCCCAAAGCGAAGAGGACGGCCGTCAACATCACTGGAAGCTCAGCTGGAGACGAAGAAGAAGAGAGGCCCGATGAAGTCGGTGCCAGTAGCGAGCATCCGCACGAACAACACAGCCCACTGGCCAGCTGTAGACAGCGTGCGCCAGAGGTGCAAGCGACCTGGATGCAAAGGCCAGACAGTTGTCATGTGCACGAAATGCCAAGTGCACCTTTGTCCGAACAAGAATGCCAACTGCTTTCTTGATTTTCACCAACCTTAGGACGCTGTAAGAGAAGTGTTGCAGTGTCTCTTGAAAACCGAACATTTTCCTATGCTTTCGAGGAGTTCTGGCACTCGAAATTACTCAAGAAATAAACTTTTTACCTGCGACTACCGCATAATATTTCCGGCTTAAGTGCCCATTGTCGCGAATTCGCGACATGCCAAAAATTTCGCCCAAGAGTGTTTTTCTGCGCTAAACATGTATTGAATTCGATTACACGGACTAAACGAAGCCAAAATGTTTCCTAATAATTTTTTCTGGGGCGCCCTTGATAATTCAGGCATTAAAGGGTTAAATGAGACGACGAGTGTCCCGGATGTGCTGGAATATTTGCCAGTGCAGAGTGACTTGTGACCATAGATCAGTAACTGGGACCGCCAGCCCGGGGGGGGGGGGGGGGGGGGGGGGGGGGTCTTTAACCTGCATCACGCAGTAGTGATCACACGAACACACTGTTTTACGAGACTCATCCAGTTCGAAACGGCCAGGGGCGAGCAGGAGGTTGAGGCTCAGAAAAATTTTGAAGCGACCTGGCAAACCACCTCGCCACCCCCTGCACGCTGCTAGTAATCCGATCGAACGCCGCCCGAGTGACGCTGGCATATAGTAAGTTAAGTTTGTAATTGTCCTGGAGGTTTATTTTCTGGGACGGAGGAATCGCCTCGCAAAAAAGCCGACACAGCTCGAGGTTGAGGAGCGTTCTACCATACAAGTGGCGTCGGAAGAGGAAAAACGGGGGGAAAGAGGGTAGCGGGGGGGGGGGGGGGGGGGGGGGGGAGGGAGGGGGGTCTTCAGTTCCCTTCCCCCCTTCCAGATTATTTCGGACTGTTAAAGGAAACAATACGGGAAAGAGGGCGTGGTCGAGCTTATTTTAATCTGAAATTATTTATGCATATATATCGCTATACTGTCGCTCTTCACTGCATAAAAGTTGCGTAGATGGTCATTGTTAGAAACTCGTTGTCAGAAGGCACTACTCGTCACATGCTTAGTGGTTCGGAAGTTCAAAGCTATGTCTTTTCGACCTAAATACTTGTGCCAATAATAAAAAAAATAAATGCAAGAATAAAAAGCTGAAAAAAAAACTATCAAGAACTCGCCGGAAGTGTTGTATTCTTGCATATTCAGAGGTTCAGAACTTGGAAACAAGTTTCTTTTACCAAAATGTGTACAGGCTAAAAGAAACACGTCCCAGGAACGTGAAGCGAAAAAAAAAAAAAGTTTTCTTTTAATGACGTGCTGAACTTGAACACTCTTAAAAATCTTCTCAAATAAGTTAATTTATTCCTTAACGTGAAAAAACAATAAATACATTATTTTGTATTCTGCAGATGGCAATGATATGCACTGTATGTGGTGTTAATTTAAATGCGATACCTCAAACAACTTAGACAAAAATAGATATCAAGTTTAGGGCATAATTGCATGTAGATACATGTTTGGACATTTCTTCGAAACTCACGTTGAATAACAATAATCACATCTTAAGACGGCACTTACCTAGGCTATACATAGATAATTCTTAAAAAAGTATAACATCTCTACCATAAATAGCTTCGGCTACAGCGCGCTTCAAATCTGGCACAAACGATAATCGCCAAAAACCCGTCGTCCTTCCTCGCTTCTTCGGGAATTTATTTCTTTAAAACTAAGCATGCCAGAACATTGAAACAAACGGCATTGTCTTTCGTAAGGAACGTAGCACCGCGTGTAAAAGTTAGAGAAAAAAATATTACGAATGTACCTCGTCACTACTTGAATTCAAATGAAACCGTCCGCCGGTCATTCGAAGTTCGACGAACGTCGAACTTTTACCCTAAAAGTTCGAAGTTCGTCGAACTTCTGACTTTTCAGGATTCGAAAGTTCGAAGCTTTTCGAATTCTCTTGATAAATAAGGTCGAAAGTTCGAAATTCATCGATTTTTTGGTCAGTCAAGTTCGGAAGTTCGACAAGCATCGAACTTTGAGGCGCAATAAGTTCGAAAGTTCGTAAAAGATCGATTTTTTAGCGTAATGATTTCGACGGTTCGAAAAACGTCGAACTTCTTAGCTTAATAAGTTCGAAAATTCGACTTCTGTCGAATTTTACAATGTAAACAATTCGAAAAATCTAAATCTTTCGAACCTTTCGAACCGCTTGATTCGATCATCGAAACTTTGATTCGAAAAAAGTTCGCGGCATCCTAAAAATAATTGTTTAGTCTTAAGAAAGTCAATGCAGTTATCCTGCCAAGGTTGAACAAATCTTCATTAATAGCGAAACATCCGTCAACTGTGCTTGAGGTTAATACTATCTGAAACCAATTTAAGCTCTTGTTTCCATTAAAACACAAAGTTTTTTTTAAAGAAAATAAAAATAAAACATATTTTGCCAAAAAAAAAAAACTTTGAGTCGCATGTAATACCGTAGAGCAGTCTACCGTTAAACAGTACGATTTCATCCGTATTCGCATCAAAAAAAAGGAAAGAATTCAAAGTGTCCTCAGAGATGAAGCGCATGACGGCCTAGTCCTTTGTCCACGTTGGGTGATCGGTCGGAAGTTAGAAAACAATAAAATTTCCGAATCGCACTCGGTGGCAGAGCGTCCATGCCCTGGAAGGAAATGCGGAGAAACCGAAACTCAAGACGGCCGCCCGCAGAGTGTTTCCAGACCACTGAGAGGTTTCGCAACTCGCATCCACGTCGTGGCGCTGGAGCCAATGAACGCCGTGGCAATGGTGAGCGGGATTCATGGCGGAGAGACGGCGCCAGAGATGGCGGACGTCGGAGGTACACGTCGATGTCGTGAGGACGTTCACCGTACCTGGGGCGTGGGACGTCGGTGTGGAACCCGCGCAGCCCCAGTTCTCGGTAGGGGCATCGACGGGCGATCATTTTTGAAACTATAAACATAAAATAGAAACAGTTAAGGAAAGCAGGTTACGTTCAAGGAGGGTATATGTAGAGTCATATATAAAAACGAAATATGGAGAGGCAACAAGAAAATACTACGTACCGAAACTTTTTAACGAACTACCCGAAGACATAACTTAATGTAAAAATCCGCAAAAAATAAACAAAGAACGAACTAAAGAATGGATAAACGAGGAGAAAAGAAAAGGTAACTAAAAAGGCAAGTAATTATAAAGAAAACGAAAATCAACGAAGCGGACCGCCTTTCCAACCCTGTCTATTATTATAGATGTGTTGTTTAATGTGATTTGTTCAGCTTAAGGTTACAAAGAAACGTTGATATTACACTTAATCTTTTAGGAGTTTTTGTTCGCTTTTAATTTAAACTCTCAAAACGAGTTGAATATGCGTACTATTACAATGAAACTATTCGGCATGCCAGAGCCACAAATTTCATTTTAACATGAATTCGTGTTTACTTGGGTGGGGTGTACCTGCCGCGCCCACCGCACAAGCCTTACTGGCTTATGTGGGCACAGACTGTAACATGTTGAAAACTGGAAATAAAATAAATGTCTGTACGTGTGTCTGCATGTGTGCGGCTTCCCCGCAGTGGTAGCAAAGCGGGCGTCGGTCGGCCGTTCGCCACACGTCGGTTTTTCTCGGTGACGGACGCTCTGGACGGTCATTCCAAAATCGTTCTTCCTGGCGTCGATGATACTGCGGCATCGAAATGTCTCGTCGGGTAGACGCCGAGGCTTGGCGGTTACCTTGCGGCGGTCGTCGGGCCATGGCGGCGTAACTCAACGTTGGTTCCTCCGGCGTCGCCGTGTTGATGGGAGCTGCAGGTTGGACCGCCCGTTGTACATCCTCGCGCACAGCCTCGGCGATAGAGAGCGTCGCTGGAGGACTAGCGGCTGGAAGCAACCCTCGGAGTTCCTCCTGGACGACTTCCCGGATGATTTCGCGGATATCCGGGGTTGCAGGGGAGATTTCGCTGCTAAGCAGGGTGGATGCAGCGATGCCTGAACGTCGCCGGTAGTGGGAAGCGTGTTCTTGGAGGGCTGGCTCGATGTTAGTTGCATCAGGGACCAAGGCTTCGACGGTTGTCGGCGGGTTGCGGACGAGGCCTCCTCTCCTCCTCCTCCCCGCCTTCTCTCATCCCCATCCTCCTCTCTCATCCTCCTCCTCCTTTCCTCCTCCCCCATCCTCCCCTCTCCTCCTCTCTCCTCCGTTTCCGTCACACGCGACCCTCGTGAATTTACACGCGACGTCTCACGCGTGACGTCATGACGGGAAACGTCCCATAAAGCATCGCACGGTTACGCCGACGGCGACGCCGCTCAAGCCGGAAACGGTAGCTTAAGAGCTGCGCTCTAAAACAAAGTAGTGGGTAGACTTCCAGGCATCCTGTATTGAGGTCTACCCACCATCCTTTCATGCAGAGCCAATCAGAGCTCGGCATCGTTCTGACGTCACCGCAACTCCTGCGCACGAAGCAGACAATTTGAATTACGCATAGCGATACACAACCCCACGCTATCTCATCGACGGGGTTAGAGGAGATTACTAAAGTCTTATCTACAGCCCTAGGCTACGTCTCCAACAGTAACAATCTCTCCGTACGAAACTCCAGCTGTCTAAAGAAAACCAACCACTAATGTAAATCCGTCGTGGCATTGCATTCTTGGTGTGTGTATGCATGTTCAAGTTGTTGTTTTTTTTTTTTTTTTACTAAAACCTTCGATTACACGGTTCTTATTATGAAACAGCGCATAGTTGTCGGGCTTCTGGGAAAATAATATATAACTAAATTGGCCCGTTAACGAGAAACAGAAAAGTCGCGGATAATTTTTAAACAGAAAGTGTTATGAGGCCACGCTTCTCTTAATTTATTCGCGAAATAAGCCATATTGTAATTTCTTTACGCTTCAAAAACCGACTACAACACATCATCCGAGCGATCTTTGGCGAGGACACCGGGCGCCTGAAAGGGCAAGTTGCCGAGTAGCCCACGATGATAGATAGCGCTAGCCACCTCTCCGAGCCAAAGAGGCAATGCAACAATTTTTGCAGTTTCAGTAAATACCGTTTAAAATTGTTC